TCTCTGGGTGCCCACGCGATCGCACGCTCGGCGCCCTTGCCAGACCCGCCGAAGGCCCGGCCGTCGCATCGGGCCCGAGGCACCAGGGTCATCACAGAGGCCAATGACGACACGGTCGCCCGAGTAGACGCCTTCCACAACTCGATCTGGGGGGGGGGGGGGCGACCGTGGACGAGCCGCCCCCCGTTAAGGAGGCACCCTGCGGATCGCAGGCAATGCCGACGCACGATCTGGGCCGCCGCCAGGGCCACCTGGCCACCCGCGGCCAGAGCCGCCAGCGCCAGCGCAACCCCGCAACGACCACGCCAGCGAAGGTAGTCCACATCGCAGCAGACCCCCTGCTCCAGCGGCAGGCCGGAGAAGTCCTCGGCATCGCCGGCGGAGATCGACAAGCGCCCGCCGCTCGGGAGGAACAGCCCTGAACTGCGAGGCGCGGGGCGGGGCGGCGAGACGCTCGAAGCAGGCGCGCCAACGGCTGGGGAGCTCTGCGGCAGGGGCACACTCGCGAAGGACCCCTCTCAAAGACTTCCCAGGCGCGTTGCGGCGACGCCTGTCAATGATCACCCTCGACCCGCGGTCGCCCTGCTTCTCCGCGCCGAAAAGCCCGGCGCGGACAGGGATGCCCGCGCGCATTCGGATGCTCTCCTGACACGAGAGCCGCCAAAGCCAAGCGCCCCACACACGCGCTGCAACCGCGGCCCAGTCGCCCACACGCATGCACATGGGAGGCAGCTGACTGGGAAGGCGACTTGGCTCGAGATCGAAGACGCGGGTCGCGCGGAAGCTGAAGCTGCGCGCAGGCGGCGCGACTGGCTCCCGGAGCAAGATCGCCGCGCCGCTGGACGGAGCGTTGAGGCTGTCTGCGGCGAGGGAGAGAGGCCAGACAGAAAGTGCACTGCCTCCCAAGTACAAACGGCCCATGAGCCCTGCCACGGCCCAATGGAAGTAAGCGACGCCGACAGTCAGGAGGGGCATTGACTCTACGACGCGGCAACAACGCAAATACTTGTCATCAAGCTGGCGCATCAGCTGTCATTGTCTCTCGGTCCAGGGCGCGGCGAGGCAGGGCGCCGTCGACCCGCCCGCAGGGCGCCCCAGCGAGAGCCAGGAAACATCGGCGATGGACGCTCTGACCCAGCACCGCCAACGTCTCTCCCGAGACCACCGCGCCCGCATTTAAGGCGACCGCGGCGCAGCTCCGCTCACACGCCACTCGTTGGGAAGCCCGCGGGGCATGAGCAGCTCGCGACAATGCGGTCGGGGAGGAGATGCCACGCCGGGGTGAAATTGGACACCCCCGCATCGAAGAGGGCGCAAAATGACGTCGGCAGGCCAGGCGCAAAAAGCGCGCAGCGCAAATCAACGAATCAACGGAGGTCTGCGAAGTCGGAGTCGCAAGCAGCGACGACGGAAGCCCGACTCCTGAGCTGGCCCCCCCCTGTGTTTCTCGAAGCTCCCCGACCCATCGGGAGGCGACCGCTCGCCCCCCCCGCAGCAGCCACCGGCGCCGACGTCCTGCTCATCTCGTTGGTCCACTTGTTCGACGTCGCGCCCCAGGCGCGGCCCTCGGCGGCGCGGCCCTGGCCCGCGCCCCCGCCCCCTCTCTCGAGGGCGCTCTCGAGTGCCTCTGTCTCCCACGAGAAGGCGACCGAGGCTGCGATCTCGGCGGGGCGCGCGAGGCCCCGCGCCGCCTGGCCCGCTCTGGACTAGCATCTGGGAGCCCCGTGATCAGCCAGGCCAGCCACCAGGAGCCGCTCGCATGACTGCTGCGTGGCCTTCACAAGCTGGCCGATTCGGGCGCCGCGGAGGTCGTGCTGCCGAAACCTGCGCAGCGCGTGGAGGGGCGCAAGCATCTCCCAGATGCGCTCGCGGCCCTCGAGGCGCCCGACTGTGATCCGCTGCATGCTGCAGAGCGCCATGCGCCACGGCATGCCCGTGGTGTCGCAGCCGAGCTCGGTGAAGGCCGCGGTGTCGACGTGGGCGGGCCATCTCTGCGGCTCGCGCTCGATGGTCTCGACGCGCGCCAGGGGCCTCGCCACCTCTTCGGCACCGCTTATCTTGGCCACTGAGCCCGCCCACCATGAGCTCGAAGCTGCGCCCCCGAAGAGGAAGTTGTCCAGGGCGGGATCGCCCTCCGTCGCCGTCGCGGAGACGCCGACCTCCAGTGCCCGCGGCATGGCATGCTGGATGGCCTCGCCTGCATCGCGGCTGCCTGCCTCGACGAGGGCCCTGAGGCCGAGGTCGGCCCTCCTCGCTGGAGCCGCACGGCTGCCCTGCTCGCGCGGAGGGGGCCCGTCGGCCCGCTGGAGCAGGCCCCGAGCTGTCGCTAGGGCCTCCGCACCCGTTGAGGGGGGCGCCTGGCGGGCGGGACCACGGGCCCCTTGCCCAACAAGGAGATCCTCTCCACCCGCGCCCTGGCTGCCCACCACGCAGGCGCCACGCGGCCGACCTGCCCACTTCTGCGCGGCAGCCTCGCGGGCTGCGCGGGCCTCGCCGTCTCCAGTGCCCTCGCCGCCGTGCTCGTCGGCAACGAGGTGCCTCTCCCCGTGGTCCTGCCCGTTGACGGAGAGCTGGAAGCCGGCGCGCCCCGGCCCCCCCCTATTCCGCGGGGTTGGGGAACGCGGCGGGTCGGAGCAGGATCCCGATGTCCCAATCGTCGGCCTGCGGGCGACGTCGGCCAGCTCAAGCTGGCCCGGCTGACCAGACCCACCAGCTGAATCGAAAAACTCGATCACCTCGTCCTCCGCGCAGCTCTCGGCGAGCCTGCCCAGGTAGGCGGCCGAGACCTTCACGCAGGCCACGTCTGCTGGCATGTCCTCGCCACGGGACGATGGCAGCGTCACCGAGACATAGTCTACGGAGGCGAGCGAGCCGGCCGGCATCGCAAGGGACGCAGACGCGGGCAATACGACGAGGAGTTCCTCCAGCTCGAGGTCGCTGAAGTCGTCTTGGAGCAGGTCGTCGACGGCAACGGGGCCCTCGAGCCTCGCGAGCTTGGCGCCGACGACGCGGGCCTCGCACCGTGCTGCCGCGCTGGCGGCCCGGGCCCCGGCCATGGGCAGCTCGAGCAGCCACGAACGAAGCAGGACGTCCCCTGCCTGCTGCAGCGCCCCGGAAGGCAGCGTCGTCAGTGCGCCCTGGTCCAGCCAAAGACCTTGACATCGCATTAATCCCGTTGTTCGTCGAAGAACCTGTCGATTGCCTCCCCCAACGACGGGAACCAGCGCAGACGATCCCGCCGGTAGTGCACCAGCCGTCTCCAAATCTAGCGACGATCGCCTGCCACGCGACCGCGCCTCCTCTGTGCACCCCCGACGAAATCACCGCTTGAACCCAGGGCGGCTCAGATTACATACGTAGCTGTGGCTGCAGTTGGCACGGGCGGCCCGAACCACAGGTTCGGCAACTGCCGCCCCTCTGCGCTGCCCTGCCCGCGATGGGTGCTGTCTGACCCACGGGACCCCCTTCTGGGTCCTCCGCCGACTCTGGCGCGGCCTCCGCCGCTGGGAACGGGCCTTGAGCAGGCCTCGAATCCAGGGGCGGGTTCGTGGAAAGTCCGTGCTGTGGCCGCGGGCCCTCCACGCATCAATTGCGGGCGCGCCCAGCGCGCAGCGCAGGGCGGGCTCGGTCCGAGAAAGCTGCAAACTTCCTTCTGCCATCATACCCACTGCGCTCACATGAGCATCATCATCATCATCATCATCATCATCATCATCATCATCATCATCATCATCATCATCATCATCATCATCATCATCATCATCATCATCATCATCATCATCATCGTCACCATCAGCACCATCCTCATCACCCTCATCACCCTCATCATCCTCACCATCATCATCATGATCATCATCCGCACCTTGATAATCCTAGTCATCATCACCAGTATCACCATCATCATCATCATCATCAGCAGCAGCAGCGGCAGCATCATCCTCATCATCATCAGCAGCAGCAGCAGTAGCAACCGCATCATCAGCATTATCAACAACAACAACAATAACAACAACAACAACAACAACAACAACAACAACAACAACAACAACAACAACAACAGCAGCAGCAGCAGCAACAACAACAACCACAACAACATAGTCGTCATCATCCTCATCACCATCATAATCCGCATCATCAGCATCATCATCATCGTCGTCAGCAGCAGGATCATCATCATCCTCATCCACATCCTCATCCTCGTCCTCATACTCATCCTCATCCTCATCCTTCGACTAATCCTCCTGCTCCTCCTTCTCCTCGTCCTCCTCCTCATCTTATTACTTGTATTCCTGCTCATCATCCTCCGCATCCTCCCTCCTCCTCCTCCCCCTCATAATCTTGAACATGCGCCTCTCTTCCGTTGTCTTCCTTGCCACCCTTGCCACCCCTCGCCCATATCCTCGAGAGTGTCCTCCCCATCCGCCTCTTCAGTATCCTCTTGCCGCCTCATGTTTATCCTCGTCCATCACCTCCTCCTCACGCACCCCATCCTTCTCCTCAAGCAGGATGGAAGATGCGAAATTGACGATGGAAGACGGAGGATGCACGGCGACGTGGGTAAAACAGAGGACCATGAGTGATGGGTGACGGAGGATGGAGGACGAAGGGCGAAGGATGGAGGATAGAGGATGGAGAATCAAGAATTGAGGATGGACCACGTCCAATAGATGATTAAAGATCTGAACGGAAACCAGAGGATGGAGAGAGGAAGATCGGGGCTTCTGGGTTCAGGGTGGAGGGTGGAGGATGCAGGATGGAGAATGCTGTATGTAAGATGGACGATGGAGGATGAAGGATGGGAGATGACAGGGGCATGAGGATAGAGGACGGAGGACGGGGTCTCTGCCATGCAGGACAAGCGAGCCAGGGCAGAGGCTGGAGGACGGACGATGTAGGATGGAGGACGAGGACGACCGCGTGGACGAGGATGAAGACGGGAACGGCGCCGGGAGACGGAGACGCAGAGAGGAGCAGCACGAAGATCTCACTAAGCTCGGAGCTGGGCGGGGCAGCGCCGGCCGAGCCCGCCGGAGGGGCCGCCTGCCGCTGGCAGGGGGCAGCGCACGACCGGAAGAGGACCAGACATTTTGCTTCAATGCGGCTGGGGGGTCTGCCCACGATAGACAGCACATGCCATATATGTCTGGCAATTCTCTCACGCATTCGGTTTCCCGAACATTTCCTGGCATTCTTCGTCGACTGCGCATTCGTTTAAATGCCTCTCCGACGGACGCCGACCAAGAGGTATTTCGTCACACGGCCGGTCTGGATCACTTCAGGCATACTTGTTCCGATGACCAACACAGACCACAGAACTTGTTATCTCATGGTTTGCCATGGTGGAAAGAATGCCTCGGATGAGCACCAGCTAATCCAGTCAGGATGGGAAGCGGGGGCAAACACGGCATCCAATGCCCATCTGGAGAAGGCGGCCTAGTGGGGACGAGGCACAAAACCTGTGTGCAATGGTGCCCCTCCACCTCTCTAACGGCTGGAACCCATGATGACCCACCTCACCCCCCCCAGGCTGGCCGGACGGAGAGGTGGGTCCAGACTTGGGGACGTGGGCGCACGACGCAATAGCAAACAGATGAACAATCAGCATCATTACGGTCAACGCCACCAGATGGGAATCGAGCGGCTGGCTGCAAAGACGGGGCGGTGCGACCTACCTGCGGAGAGGCGGTCAGTTCGGGCAGCCGCAGCAATGTCGACCCTCTGGCGCTACCCTAGAAGCCCATGGAGGCTCTCTGGAAGGGAGGTATCTGGAAGCTCAATGAAAGCGCGTGGAAAACTTGTGGTGGGAGGGCCTCCCGAGACTGACTATGAAAACGGATGTACGTTAAGCGACGTTGTTGTTCGTGGAAAAACACATTGCGAAGGCGAGACTAACACGGGTACGGAAAGGATCCCCTCCGTGCCCCCGGAAAAAAAACGGCCGCGGGAAAAGGGTGATGATTGAACATGGCAAACGAGGCAGGAACATTTGGTAGGCCACCTTTCGATTCTGGCGCTCAAACGAATAAGCCTGTGCCCCGTCGGCTGCAACACGCAAGCCGTGCCGCAACCAATGAGGCTGCATAAACAGCTGCGACGGGAGAGGAATCCACGATTTCGGTACGTTTCGGGAGTTGGCCGAAGTCGCACCGCCCCAAGGCACCTTGGCCGCCAAGGTGCCAACCCCAAAACCGTTTCAACAGCACGCGAAGAAAGGGCAGCGGCTACTCCCGGCAGAGCTCCCAAAGCAAGCCGAAGAAGGCGGATGTCCGCGAAAGGAGGCAAGTATCAAAAGGGCCTTCTACTAACCAGACCCGTCATGAACAGCTAACAAATAAGCGAGGAGAGCAGACAATTGGAGAGCACAGGGAATCGATGAACGTGCTGCACGCCAGGAGGTTTACTGTTCCACGAGCACGGCTCATGGTAACAGCCCATCAAGTGCTTGACTCACTAAGTCGCACTTGCAAACATAATTCGCCGCATGCGGGCGTTATCGAATTTGCCCGCTTACGTCGTTTTCGCCAACCGGGCACACGACACGCGGCTAACTTTGTTTTTCTCGCTCTCTCTCTCTCTCTCTCTCTCTTTTTTCTCTCTCTCTCTCTCTCTCTCTCTCTCTCTCTCTCTCTCTCTCTCTCCCTATGTCGCACTCGTGAACACAACTCGCGACATGCGACCGCCAACGTTACGTTCTGCAGCCGACACATGCAAAGTGCAGCTTCCAGCTGCTCATCCCGTCGGCGAAAAGTGCTTCTCATCCGTCCTGAGTTCGCTGTGGCGCGAGCTGGGCACGGTCTTCGACTGCATCTTGTCGCACACGCTGACCGAGGCGCAGTCGTACCTGAGCCCCCCGCACATCGCGTCCAAGATCAGCTCCTGGTCGATGCTCACCTTCGTCATGGGGTCGGCCCTCATATCACGAGTATCGAAAAATAGCACGTCAATGATCTGATTGGTGCGGAGCCGGTCGGGGAGCCAGCATAGGCGGCCTGCCATTCTGCGCTCTGGAGGTGGACGAACAGGATCCATGGCGATGGCCGCGAAGACGGACCCGTCCACGACCAGGGTTGCTGGTCTGGCGTAGTCTCCCTTCCCTCTCAGCTTCCATATGTCCCCAACTGGCACTGGGCCCCCCGATCATCTCGTGGAGCGCGAAAAGGAAGGCCTTCAACCCATCAGCTGCGCCGCGCGCTGCGAGCAGCCCGGATCCGAACGAAGACCTGCACAAGTTTGCGCGGGCGGCTCACGGCATCGAGCACATGGCAGACCTCCCCGCAGGTGCTGCGGCACTTGCCGAGACGCATGTAGATGGTGCCCTTCTTACCACACCCCGTCTCCTCCTCCAGTTTGAAGGACCCGTCGCTGCGCGCGCAGATCTGGCCAGCGCATTCCATGGCAGGAAAGGCGACGCGCTCTCATCTTCTGCATGGCAAGGACCGCAGAACTGAGCTGCATAGCACGTCGTGAAAGCAGCTGGTTCCTGGCCCGTTGTGGTGAACGTTGCAAACTGCAACACGGTGCTGGGCGAGCAGGGAGTAAGCAGCTGCTCCCAGCAAGGAGACGAAGAGGTCGGGTAGTTGACCTCCTGCGGGAACGTCGGCCTTCGCCTTGACCAGGTCGACGTACCCGATGGGCACTAGGGCGTCGATGTACTCATGTTGGTCGAGCGCCACGGCACCGTCGGCACTGCGGTGTTTGTTGGGGGACACCGCAGTTGGTGAAGTCGTCGTAGTCCCTCCCCCTTCACCTTACCGAAGACGCTCTCGACGTGGCCGATGAGCTCGTCGACGCGCTCCTTTTGTCCATGGGCCTCGAGGTCGTCAACACGCTTGGACAGCATCGCACAACATTGAATCGCCAGCAAGACAATTCCTGGACGCCTCATACTTGACGTCGAGCTCCATGTTCCACCTGATGGGCTTGGTGCTGCACCACTCTGATGAGCGCGTAGCCCGAGCGAGTTGCATAAAGAAGGCTCGGGGTACGTCCTCGCAGCCCGCGCGCGGCTGGATGCAGCACAGGCACTCGGCCCCCCCGTCGAAGGACCCGTAGCTGGGCACCCGACTCAGAATTGCTGCACTGCCGGGCGGCAGGGTGAAGTTCACCTCGCGCGGTGCATCACCTGGTTCCCGCATCCCGGCAAACGTCGTGCCCCGCAGGAACGCCTTCTCGACGCCCGCGGAGACGGAGACCCCGCCTGGGCGGCGCGCCGCCCCCGAAGACAGCACGCGCTGCGAGGCGCGTTTAGCTGCCCACGCGAACGTCTCCAGGGCGCTAGCGCCCATGTCGCGGATGCCTCCGAGAGGCACGCGGCTCCGGAGGATCCGTGCGGTCTTGCCGTCGGGACCCTTCCAGTGCTTCCACTTGAAGACGCGCCTGGGGTCCACGATGGTTTGGGCGCCCCTGAGAGGCCCCCGTTCGAAACATGTGGTACTTGACCCAAATTGTGAGCTCCTTGAGGATGGCGGCGGACACTTCCTTGGACAGCCTGGATACCTCTTCTGGTCAGGAGGTCGAAGTCGCGCTTGATGACCGCGGTCTTGACGGCGGCGCACGCGTTGAGCACGGCTGTCCAGGAATCGCCAGGAACAGACTTTCCTCGCTCAGGCTCAGGAATGATTCGCGCACCCCTGGGTCGAGGCACAACTCCACGCGTCTTCCTCGCTCGCCCTCCTCCTCTAGCGAGGCATAGTCGTCCAGGGCGGCGCCGCGCAGGTAATAATGGCACTGCGCGTAAACGTAAATGCACTGACGCTGGCGCCGCGTCTCGATGCGCTGCGGCCACTCGCGTGGCCGGCGGCCAAGACCAGCCGCAGCGTGCTCAACAGCAGCGCAGGTCACATGCTGGCTGTCGTCGCTCTCCAGCGTTGAGCTGCCAGGTCAGATCTTCTGCCCCTTCGACCTCACGCCGAGCTGCCAACATCACCTGTTGGATGTGGCCAGAGAAATCGCTGCCGGTCTCCTCTGGCACGGCAGAATGCGCCGACGGAGATCCCCCCGCAACGGTGCTGACAGCATCCACAGAAGCGCCGATAACACAACCATGGAACACTCCATCTGGATTTTTTCGAACGCCTGCTGCCACAGCGTCTCGTCGCCCAAAACTGACTGGACGAAGCGGGCGTCTTTCCACTGTTCGCCGGCGAGTGCATGGGCGTCGAAAGTGACGCCGTCGAAGCGAATCTGCTGAATCGCACCTGAACTCTGAGGGAACCAACAGATGATTAAGCAGCGGGCGCAGTCGGGCCGATCTCCCTCAGATTTCTGGCCGCGAAGTAGCCGCGCGGCACGATCGTCTGGCAACTGAAAACATATGTGGGATACGTGGCGTAGAACTTCGAGGATGTCTGGGCGCGGCCGCGTCTACGCGGTCACCCGCACGCCCCTTGCGCCCCCCCAGTGGCCGAAGGTCCTGGTACCATAGCCTGGCACGATGTGCTCCGCGAAGTGGCCAGGCCAGGTCCACCCAAGCTGGCGCCCACGTCGTCAGAGACGGCGCCGATGAAGGGCCGGACGTCCTGCAATCTCCAGACCACTTCGGCTTGGCGGCGCTCAACCGCCACCTTGCCTCGAGACGGATAGACGGACATGACAATCCTCTGGCCTGCCCAGCCAGATGCGTCCTTTGTGCTCGGAGGCCTGTAGCTCTCCACCTGGTCGCCAACTGAACCGGCCCTCTCCGGACTCGGTGGCGCATGTCTGGAAGACACGGCTGACGCGGGAGATGGACGTAGCCTCAATCATGCGTTGCAGTTCGATCTCCCTGATTCGCAACTGCAGTCGGCTGGGCTGGACTTCCCCACCAGCGGGGGGGGTCGGCACTGGTGACATAGTCGCCAGACACCTCACCCGAATCGTCTGCTCCAAGCGGTGGCAGCAAAGCCGGCTCCGCCCCGACGACGACGCTGCAAGGCGCGACGCCGCCTACGCGGGCGAAGCTGTTACCTGCAAATACGGCGCGAGCAACCATGGAGCCGGAGTTGGCTACAATACCTGCCTGTTCTAGCTGCTCCTCTGTGCACGTCGTAGTATAACCCCAC